CTCTGTGCCACCTCTGGTACGTGCACCACAGGTTCACCATAACCGCTCTATCCCATTTCAGGCAAACGGCTGTCCAATCTCTTCTTCAAAACTTCCAGTGTTGGGAGCAAATCCACCACAGCTCTCCAAATTTCCAAAACAACCAAGCAGGGCGGGCAAAATAAAAACCCTCCCTTCGAAGTAGGATTTGTGGCCACCCTGCAACGCTTCCTGGTGTCAAGGGAAGGGCCTGGAGGGATCCCAAAACCGGATGAGGGATCCAAAAACAAAGCACCTTTTCCCTTCAGAGAACCACGCTGTCACCCCACAATTATCTCCACACAAAAAAAAGAGAGAGGCGCCTGCACAGGATATCCCATAATGATACCACTGCCTAAAATGCCAAACAGGTATAGCTCACCTTGCACTCCTGCTCCCAATTTATCTATTTCCGCAGGAAAGGGCATTTCGGATGGCTGTTCTTCCTTACTGGGGGAGTTGAAAATGTTACAGGAGAAAATTCCATCTTTAAGTTACTGGTTCTTAGATGGGAAGCGAAGGAGAATTCCTTGGCTGAACCTTAAGGGAGCCTCGGGCCTTGGCTTTGCCTAAAATCCCTGCATTTCCAGAAGTTGGGAATTATCTTACATCCCATGGAGTAAGAAATCCTCACGGCTGTACTGTAGGACTTGTAGGGAAAGAAAGAGCCAACTTCTGAAAAGTCTAAAAGGTCACCTGTATGAATTCCTGCAGGTGATCTTCCTTCCTTCTCCCTTTCTTTCTCTCCCTTCTCCTTCCTTCCTTCCTTCCTTGCTTCTTTGCTTCCTCCTTCCTATTCTCCCTTCTCTCTCCCTTTCTCTCTTCCTTCTCCCTTCTTCGTTCCCTGTGCCTTACTTTCCTATTCTTTCGCCCCTTCTCCTTTCTCCCTTTCTTTCTTTTTTTCCTCCCTCCTTTCCTTTCTTACCTCTCTTTCTTTCTATTCCTTCTCCTCCCTTTCCTTTCTATTCTTTCTTCCTTCTCTCCCTCTCCCCTCCCTTCCTCTTTTCCTTCCCTTCTTTCTCTCTTCCTTCTTCTTCCTTTCTTTCCTTTCTACTTTCCTTCTTTCCCTCTCGTCCTTCCTTACCTTCTCATTCTTTCTTCTCTCTTCTACTTCCATTCCCTCTTCCCCCCTTCCTTCCCTTGTAAACCAAGCATTGAGAGCATGGAAAGTGTAATTCACAAAGGAGATTCCAATTTTTGTGTAGTTTACGTTTATTTAGGAAGGCAAGCTTTAAAAATTCTGCTTCTGCTTTTGATAAGGCAGCAAGTACCACAAAATACTTATATCCGGTTTTTTAAAGGACAACGGGATGGAATGCAAAACAAACAGATTAACATGTCCAATTGTTTTAATTAGCAATTCTAAGTTTCCTTAGTGAATTAAATCCACCTAGCCTCAGGCACTTCCTAACAAAATACAGTGATGCAACTGGACCTCGCAGGAAATCACAAAGGAAAGTGCAAACTCGCAACCTGTACCACAACCAGCAGAGTTGGCGCATAATGGCTAACTATAAGCCATGGTTTATAGACTCTACGCCTCTCTACACCTGGGCTCTTGCTCAGGAAGAACCAGATACTGAGGGCTCAGCATGATGCCGTGAGCCAGGCCAAAAATAAGTTTCCTTCCAGAAAAACAAATTCCGTACATAACACGAACGGTTATCAAATGCCAGCTTTTAAGAAAAATCAGCAGCTCAGCTATGTAGACTTGCAACAATATGAGAAGAGAATGTTCCAGAAATTAACTCCCTTGAAAAGGTTGCAAGGGAACCGAGATTAGGGTCTAGAACAATATTTCTCAACCTTGGCGACTTGAAGAGAGGTGTCCGGGATGGGGAATTCTGGGAGCTGAAGTCCACCTGCCTTTAAAAGTTGGCACAGTTGAGAAATACTGGGGATTTTTTTGGAATTTTTTTTTGGAGAACATACCATTCCACGATCCCATCCTCTCTCATAACGGTCCCCTATGGGATGTAGTTTAGCTTCCGTGACCCACTTTCCCCATAAAGAAGAAAATGGGGGCGGATATCCTGAAGCTAAGGATTAGAATCTAGAACCTTTCAGATGCATTGCATTTCCACACCCGAGAAAGCACCCCAAGATTCTCTGCTAGGATATGGTGGGACAGGTGGGAGGGTTCTGCAGAAAACAGGACAGCTTTTAATTGTGGAAAGAAAGAGTTGGAAAGGATCTTTAGAGGTCATCTGGTTCAACCCATTCAGGATACAGGGAGGGAGGGAAGGAATGGGAAGGGAGAGAGAGGGAGGGAGGGAGGGAAGAAGGAAGGAGGGAGGGAGAGAGGGAGAGGGGGAAGGAAGAGAGAGAGAGAGGAAGGAAGGGAAGGAAGAAGGGAGGGTGGAAAGAAAGAAGGAAGGAGAAAGGAGAGAAAGAAAGGGGGAAGGAAGAAGGGAGAGAAAAAAAGGGCAAGAAAGAATAGAGAGAGAGAAAGAAAGGGGAAGGAAGGAAGGAGAAGGGAGAGGAAGGAAGGAAGGAAGGAAGGAAGGAAGGAAGGTTACCTGCAGGAATTCAAACAGGTGACTTTAGACTATTTAAAAGCAGTCCCCCTTTTTCCCCCCTTAATAGTCAAGCAAGTCCCAGTGCGGCTTGAGGATTTCTTACTACATGTAAGGCAATTCTTCCTGAACTGATGAAGCTTCTTGGACGACAAGCGAAAAGCCTTCAAGGAAAAACAAAGCCCAGCCGCCTTTTGAAAAAGCCCCACTGGCGTGCCAAGGAAGAGCACCCCAGCTCGCCAAAGCCTGTTTTACCTTTTAATAAAATACTTTCGACTGAAAAGGTGGCGCCAGATTCCTTCTCTGATTCCCCACCCCTGTCCAAGGAGTCCTGGTCTAGACACCTAACAGTGGTTAGCTGCTAAACCAGGGTTAACGGAAGGCCGCTGCCATGCTCGGGCAACCTGCAATGGGAGGACGGGTTTCCCATAATACCGGTGCCCCTGGGAGTTAGCAGGTGGTGTGAACGGGAGAGCCTCCAGGGCTGTGGTGACCCAGAAGGTCTGGATTCAAAAGCCGGAGCGAGTGAACAGGCGGTGGGGGCTTCGCAAGGGCATCTTCCCTCCTTTTGACAGATGCAAGAAGGGGCAGCTTAGCAACTACTTAGTCCAGAGGCTGAGAAACGCAAGGGGGGGCGGGGGGGGAGAATCTCGGCTGCCTTTTTGATCCTCAACCCCACAAGGCAGAAGGAAGTAAACCTCGTCATTTCTGGAGACACAATTCTAGGCCACATCGCCCAGGAGGGCTGTCCGACTGTGTGCGTGGAATAAATGCTGCTCGGGGAAGGAGAAAGGTGGAAGGTAGCCCTAAACATTTGAGCTGGGAGGGGGGGGTGGGGAGAGAAGGAGGAGAAAAACATATAGGATGAACTCTTTGTGGGAGGGGGGATATTTTAGAAATGAATGGATTTTAGGTGGTACCCCACTGGGTGATCGAGGCTTATTAAGTGCCAGGGATCTGGCCTGGAATGGAATTTAGGTGCTCTACTGGATGATCGTGGCTTGTAGGTGCCAGGGATCTGGTCTGAAATAAATATTGGGTGCTGTACTGTAAAATCGTGGCTTGTAGGTGCCAGGGATCTGGCCTGGAATGGATTTTAGGTGCTCTACTGGGTGATCGTGGCTTGTAGGTGCCAGGGATCTGGTCTGAAATAAATATTAGGTGCTGTACTGTAAAATCATGGCTTGTAGGTGCCAGGGATCTGGTCTGAAATAAATATTAGGTGCTGTACTGTAAAATCGTCGCTTGTTAAGTGCCAGGGATCTGGCCTGGAATGGATTTTAGGTGCTCTACTGGGTGATCGTGGCTTGTAGGTGCCAGGGATCTGGTCTGAAATAAATATTAGGTGCTGTACTGTAAAATCATGGCTTGTAGGTGCCAGGGATCTGGTCTGAAATAAATATTAGGTGCTGTACTGTAAAATCGTGGCTTGTAGGTGCCAGGGATCTAGTCCGAAATGAATGGATTTTAGGTGCCCCACTGTGTTATCGTGGCTTGTTAAGTACCAGGGTTCCCTCCTGGAATGAATGGAGTTTAGGTGCCTAGCTAGATCGTGGTGTTCGTAAGTGCCAGGGATCCGATGTGAAACGAATGGATTTTAGGCGCCCCACTGGAAGATCGTGGCTTGTTCAGGGCCCGGGATCCGGTCTCAAAAGAGTCCCCACCCCCCCTTATTATTATTATTTTTTTTGAAACAACTGCTTGTTAAACTTCTCCGAATAAGAAAACGAGAAGAAAACCCGCGGGGAAATCCTATCCATCCTTCCTCCCGATCCTGGGCATTCCGAAGCAAGATCTCCCCCTCCTCCTCCTCCTCCTCCCCCTTCCTCTTTTTATTTTCCGCCGCTCGGCCAAGGCAGCCAGCGGGAGAAGGGGAGGCAACCCCGGCCGCAGCTCCCTCGGGAAAAGGACCGCAAAGAGATCCAACCCCCCCCC